CTCTGCGCTCTCCTGCCTCCTCACTGAGCCAGCTAACTCATGTGCAAAGAAATGTATATTCCCTTTACCTGTTTGTCCTTAATACAATTATTTCATTTACTTTTTTTCACAGTATGTATGTACGATAGTGTGTGCATGTAACTATGTAAAAATACTTGAAAATACTAGTTGAAAAACAACCTTAACACCGTACAGCTTGGCCCAGTAGCCTGGTGGTTACAGAGACGAGTCTAACCTGGCTACAATGCCATGATCATTCACTATAAAGCACTATTATATCAGTAAATACTAATAATACAGTAATAGTAAATCTAGTGAAATATGGCAGGGGGCAAGGAGAGTTACAACAGCACTGCAGCAGACAACGCTCAACTAGCAGTCACTGCCAGGCGTATGATCGAAATATGTATGGCAGAAGTACTGTACATTTCTTGTACCTAGTCTAATTTTAAAAAGGTGACGGGCACATTGATAAACAAATTATATAATCCATGCATTTACCTGCGATTACATAATAAGAAACATTGTACAGTATCATTACTAGAGTGAATTAGATAATATTCCCACAAACAACAATTGACATCTCTGTTTGTTTCCCACCTCCTCGGGCACCTGTGTCCCGCACCCTGACATCTTAGTTACACGGGCCTAAGATGATCTTTGCTCTGTTTTGGGAATGCTTCTTAGGGAGGCTTCTTAACCCACAGAACCCCAAATTTTTCTTCCAAATATTCCAAAATCCGTATTTACCAGGTTCGAATCTTTGAGGTTTCATTGTGTCAGTAACATCTCCATTGGCCGGAATTGAAATTTGCGAAGAATTTTTCCTGAAAATTTCTCTTTATTCTGGGTTTGGGAACAATTTTTTGATGTAAAAAATCGGTGCATTTTCTGAAAAATTCCAGAATATCTCTTCAATTTTGTTCCTGGTCTGGGAGTTAATTCCAAGGATGAATTTATGCATAATGCAAAAATTTTTCTGGATAACGGGAATGGGAATGTTCAACTGCAAATTTCATGATTTTCTTAATTAAGCCTATAAAATAAGATTATAAACCTTTAAAACAAAGAAAAATTATCAATATTTCATTTTCTTAATACACTCTCACCAAAAACTTCTCGAACGCTATGAGCACTATGCAATCTGAAAAATTAACAAAGAATCTGAAACCATTCTAAGATGACAAGTCCCATTCAGCTCATTCTCACATCCATTGTGCTCAGGTGTTCAAGAATTTTTTTGTTGAGTGTGTACACTCAACAAAAGCAGATAAAATATGTAGCTTGAGTTATGGTATATGTTGGTAGCACTGCTTTCTAGAGTTGCCAGTTGTCACCTAGTAATCTCCCCATTACTAAGACCCAGTCCATGAAGTGTGAGGATTAATGCGCATGTTCTCTGTGAGGGCGGCATCAGTTCCTCTCCCGGTACCATAGGAGGGGTGGTTCTTAATCTCTCTCTGGGGTGTTGGGGAGGAGTCATGATGCCGGGGGGTGGGGGTGAGACTGTTTTGGGAGGAGATTGGCCTCCTCTCTCTTTTGGAGGTTTCTTAATTCTTGTCATTTCCTTTTGGGTTGTTTTTCTTTCTATTTTTTCCGTCATTTTGATTTTAGTTTATCATTAATTTTCTCCAGCACTGAATGAGGTGCTCAGTGGAACACAAGAGGTCTGTGCAAAAATCATGTTTGGAGATAAACAAAGGATAGATAATTTTATTTGGTTTTAAGTCCAGTACTGTACAGTGCAAAATCTTGTGTCATTAAAGTCTGAATAGTCATTAGGTCATGTTTATTTTAGAAGGTCACTGAAAAACAACCAGTAAGTGATTAATAACCATCAATATTTATTCAACAAATGTTAATGTAATAATCACCAGCCCAGGATAGGTGTATGGGGGGGGCTAGTACTCCAGCATCTCCTCCACTACACTTGCTGTGTCTTTGTCTCTCTATGATAACCCCATGATATAGCTTGTAGATGGACAGAATGTAATTCATGAGGACTGCAATGTCTTTGAGAGCTCGACAGTTTTTGTATACTTTGGTGGTAAATCAATGGATAGGAGGTCAAACAACCGAGATTCATAATGTTGGCCCCTCCCCTTCTGTAACTTCACCTTTATGTTGTTACTGTGGTAGGCAATTCTGAATAGCATACCCCTGCTTGTAGTCAGAGGATTAGGTGAAGACTTTGCATCACTAAACTTGATCCCCAGCTCTTGCCACTTTGTAATGGCCTGCTGCATCACAATCAGATCTTTAAAGTTGTCACTCTTCATCTTGATTACATTGAAGGGACAAGTTTTATGACATGCCTTAATGTGTGTGCACTACTGGTCCGTGTTGTAGATGTTCTTAAGGTGTTTCTCCATGTGGCTAAGTGTCTGTTAGGGAAGGTATGAGTGGCCAGGGATCATGAAGATGGGTTTGACCTCCTTGAAGCAGTTTGAGTGAATGAGGTGGATGCAGGTGAGCACAAAGTTGATGATTTTATTTGGCCCAGCACAGTTATCACTAAAGATCACCACATTTTCCACCTCTGGAGGCACTTGGGTGTGTTAACATAGTGGAGGACACAACTATCTCATTAGACCCCTCCTGGCCGTCGACTCATCTCGGGCGTACATGTTAGCCTTGCCCATCTTCACATTATGTGCACCAAAGTTGTCAGTAATATCTCCGTTTGCCGGAATCCCTTAAACCCAGAACTCTCCGAAAGCCGGAATTGAAATTTTCCGGAAAATTCCGGCTTTGGGAACGATTGTCCGGAAAATTTTCCCGATACCTGGGGAGGTTTTTTTCCGGGTTTGAGCGATGAAAATCAGGCACATTTTTTGAAATTCCGATGAAATTTTTCCGTTACCTGGAAAATTCTGGAGAATTCCGGGATGAGAGATATTTTTACCGGCTTTGCGAGAGTCGTCTCATTACCCGGAAATCTCTCATTCCCGGAAGTGTTCTGCACCAATTGTTCCGGCTAACAGGGATATCACTGTACAGTATGTCCAAAGATTGCATTTGTAATATTGGAGCCCAGAGTAGATGCAAGGGGTTAGGAGTGCTTGTTGAAGTTTGGTGGCGATAATACCTACAGTGTCATCATTGTTTGTACAGTAACCCCGGCTCTAGTGCACAGCTTTTTCCCACCTTTCAACTTCATTATTTTCGCTGCATCCTCACGTTGTCTCTGATAATAGCAGGGGTCTGGAAAAAACTATGGTTCCCCCTCCCAAGGCTGCACACACACCCTCACATTCGGGGCTCTCATTGGCTGAGCAAATGATGCCACATCTTTGCATGCCTGTGATTGTTAATGCTCTTTGGTGTATACATCTGTATTTTGCTGAGACCGCGACCTTCTTGTGCCTCGTCTAACCTGTGGAAAATGCCTGAACTTCTATTTATTAAATAAGTTTGTCTCTCTTTCAAAGACGTATCTCCTTTCTCAACCTAGCTAATGTTAGAGAGACTCACCTGGACATGATGTCAAGACAAGAATCTCATTTCTCCACGATTGGTTGATATGCTAGTTTTCCACCGAGCTGCTCACATTCGTTACATTTAAGGTAGCACACTTCGTCTGATGAATTTCTGTGCTACATTGTGTTAAATAGTATTGGCAATGTCTTTGTTCTGTGGATATTACTAGCAGTTACCTCCAGTTAACCTCCAATTTTTATCATGTGGCATAATAAAGAGGTTTCATAATGTGTTATCTTCTCTACAGCAACTCTTCCCCCACGTGGAAAATTATATGGCTTACTATGTTAGTAATTTCTTTAATTTTCTTACTGGATGAGGTCTTGTATTATTTTACACAAGTCGCTGCATCTCGCATCTAAAATTCCTATTTGGCAACTTATTAACTAGGGTGGCATATACTCTTACAATAGCTATATGAATGATACAACATAGTACAGTATATAATACTGTGACATTGTATGGTTTTTGTACAGGTATTCATGTTAATTTCTCTGTATTAACTATACGTGTTATACAGATGACATCGTATTGGTTACACAATGCATCACATAATCAGAAGTACCAACCTTACCAAATGAACACGGCCTCAGTTAGTGATCGTTGCAAAGGCCGTCAGACCCCAGGGTGTATAAGTTTTTGTTGTTGACTGTTCTGTACAGTAAAGAGTCGTCTCCCTCAAATATTCACTTCGATTACAGTATTGTGTATGCAGGTTGAGGGAGTCGGCTAAGATATGGTGCAAGTGTAGAAAATAGATACGTCACAGCACAGTATCACTCTCCTGTTTCTTATACTGCATTAGTGTAACTGTACTTTTCTCACCCCTCCCCCCTCTCAAAGGATTATCGGGACTCCCATAATCCACCCCTGGTTTACACTGGTGAGAGGAATAAACAGAATACAGTAGTCCTGCACTGAAGTATAAATATACTGTATTTTGTTAATTTGAATTCCTTTGTATGTTTTACTATATTTTACATAAAGTATACTGTACTGTATTTGATTTTAGATTTCAGATGCAGACAGAAACCTAGGAAGATTTATATTTAGAAAATTGATAAACTGTACCGTATTATGTTTGGTAATTATAGGTATAATTAGTTGAGTGAAGTACTGTACTGTATTTTGTATTTATCACTGTACAGGTAGGGCCTATAGCTATACAGTACCAGATCTCGTTTTACTGTGAAATAGGATTACTTGTAAGTTTCATGTACTGTACTGTAGTTGACTTTAGTTTTTGTGAAAATGCAATATAATCGCTGTACATAATTGTTTATTATTAAGTACAGGAATATGGGATTAGAGAATTTGATTTTCTTCCTTAAAGAATATTGACGTGCTCTTGTTCAGATTAGGATAAAATACCTGTGTATAACCTATACTGTATTTGGTTAAAATGGTTCAGATTGGTGTGATCCTTGTATTTTACAGGTTTGGGATGTGGTTATTTGTTTTATTAATATTTTGAATGTTATTGTTAATTTAATTTCTCATGGCCATATTTTTCTTTACAGTTGTCGGGGTTGGCTTTGATTGTGATTGGGGGCATAGCCCAAGGTTTCTTCAGCTCATACATAGAGTTCTTCAATGGAAAGTATGAGACACCAGCCATTGGCATTATCATCCTGGGAGGAATCATTCTCGTCATCTCCTTCTTTGGCTGCTGTGGAGCAAAGAAGGAAAATGTTTTCATGCTCAGGATTGTAAGTTAATTTTGTTGCTTTGTATTTTCCCATGTCATTTGGCTTAGTTTCTTGCATACAATATTACAGTAGTGATGTTCAACTTAGTACTCTACCTGGTATTAGTTTCATTTACATGAAAATAAACCACTTGTGTTGACTTACATTGTAGTTATGTTTGATGAAATTGTGTAAACAAAAGGGAGACACTGATGAGGCATAAATAGGCCTACATGGATACCTTGTGGGGAACTATACCTTGGCCCATAAGCCCCACCCCTCGTCTATAGCTACTAATAGCCGATTGGTTCCCCTGAGCATTCTACCTCCCCCCGGACTGTGCGTATTTATATCGACCTTTTTATGATAAATGTTTAAATTTTTCAAACATCTTTGAAGTGCTAATGCATTGAAATCACTTGCATTTTGATAGTTCAGATATTTAACAGTTACAGATAATAATGGGCCTGCTTACCAATTATGAACACATTTAGTTTGAATTTTCTATGAATCAATCGGCTATTAGTATAGAAGAGGGGCGTGGCTTGTGGGCCAGGTTAGTATGGAAATACTATAGTATGTTTTTGTTTAATGCAGAGGAGCTCGTGCTATCTGTACAGCATCATAGTTAGTGCTAAAGTTAACCTTTAGTATGTATATTCCATTCAAAACAGTAAACACACTCTTACTAATGTAAACTGGGGCATTGATCTGTTTTGGGAGTAAACTGTCAACTTAAGTTTATGGCCATCCTGGTTCACACTAATCCTGTACATGTTCCAGTTCTCATACATCATACCGGTATGCATGATGTAATAACACTTAGTTTCATACCAGAAGATAGGTCACTGACCTGTTTTTGTGTACAAAGGGTTCTATGGTGCGTTTTGAATAAATGAAGCCAAACATGGTAGAGTTAGGGGTTACTTAGGATTAGAAGTAAAGGAAATTTCAGGGTCATGGGGTTAAAGTTGTTGGGGATAAGAAATAAAACATAATTTTTAAAACTAAAAATAAAATACTGTACTTTTATTTCGTAATCGATAACCTTCACCCTATCTTGTGTGGTTCCATTTATACAGAATAATCTGTACATTAATGCAACTTGCTACAATCGCTAAGCTTCATTTGCATGATCATGATGTTGAAATTAATAACCCAACTTTCTGGGGAAATGTTGGTCACCTTGTTTTATATGTGATTGGTTCTACATGAAAGTAATATACTATTCATTGGAGTTCATGAGCATAATTTTGTGTAAATCACACAAAATATTTCCAATTAAAAAAATTGGGTTAAATGTCTTCGAGTCAGGCTGGGAAGTTTTTTGTGGATATACTTGTCAAGGCTGGTAACTTCTGAAGGTTACTTCCCCTGATAATTCATGGAAATTTAGTAGCATTGATTTTCCTTGGTGTGGCTTTCTGGAAGTAGTTTAAGTAATTTTGGACACACTTGATATACTGTATTTCCTTCTCTTTGTCCAATCCTCAGCCTTTGCTACCAAATAGTAGTAGGAGGTAAATTTGAGCCAGACTGATGTATTGTTTCCCTTTCTATCGTCTAATGCAGTGATTTTCAACCTTTTTCATCTCAACACAGTGAGCCAGGCACTAAAATGGTCGAGGCACACCATCAGTATTTAAGGATAGATTTGATCATTTAAAAGAAAATGAATGATAAGAATGTGTTCATAATTAAAAAATAATAATAATAATTTATTAATTTTATTTCCAAAAGTATATTATTGATCATGGTTTTCAAAATAATTTGAAAGTTTTGTGCATATTTGTTATTACTACACATTGAAACAAGATGTCATTGAAAAAGATGCCATTCATTAAAAAATAATACGAAACTTTCAGATATACAGTAGACAGTGGTTCTCAACCTTGTTTGCCCCATGCACCCCTTTCACCATATGTCAGAATGTCATTCCCCCTCCTTTCCAAGATTGTCTGCCTCAAAAAGTGCATTCCAAATAATATGCATATAATACTGAAAATCCTTTATTTTTTCCATATTAGTACATATACATTTACAATTTTACATGGATTATTTTTATAGTGGAGTTTTACAAATTAAATGCCAATTGAAAATGTTGATGGATTTATAAAACTTGAATAAAAGTAAAATAGTTTTTTTATTTATAATGAATTACTTAACAGACCAAACTGAAGCATAATGCAATAAACAAAAAGTTCAATAGAATACCAGGATATTGTAAATTTGTAATTAATTTTATTCAGATGAAGATTACAGTCAATGAGAAACCTGTGATTGTTTTTTCTTCGCCAATTCTGGGATACGCGGAGGAGTGCTTGAAAGGGCACAACGCAGGTCATTTTCTACCTCTAATCTACTACGTTGCTTCGTTTTAATTTGCAACAGAGTTGAAAAGCCTGACTCACAAAGATATGTCGACACAAACGGAAGCAATGCACGGATAGCTCTTTCTGCCACTTTTGGGTAGGAATCACACATCAAGGGCCAAAATTCTGTGATTGATTTCTCATCGAAGATATCTCTTGCTCCAGAATCAGTTTTCCCCCCCCCTGAAAACCTGAATTCCCCCCCTAGGGGGAATTCCCCCCTGGTTGAGAACCCCTGCAGTAGATTGTATTCAAATACAAACACGAGTAAAAATAAAAGGCCTTTGTTTACATAAAAATATCAGTGGGAAACCTGTGCTTGGTGTTGTTCCTTGTCCGAGGTTGAGTGGTTGACTGGCAAACCCTCAAGTCCTCCTCCAGTGTTTGAAGCTGCGACCTGTTTTTGCTTTTCATTGTGTTCATGGCAGAGAAGCCAGCTTCACACAGATATGATGTTGAGAAAGGAACAAGTGCTTCAATTGTCTTCTTTGTAATGATAGGGTATTCCTCTCGAAGGGACAACCAGAAAGAGTTTAATGCGCTCCATAAAAGTACCAGTAATATCAAAACGTATCCAAATGCTATTTAAAATCCCGCGGCACACCTACGGATGCTTCGCGGCACATTGGTTGAAAATCGCTGATCTAATGTATTTATTAAATGACATTTATTGAGTTGCTTTGCATACCATACAAGGCTGCTGATTCAGTGACTTGGGCCTAAAATCGTCTCTCCCACTGTCTATCCTTATTTCATAGTAAATTCTGTAGGATAAAAAATAGTATGATTGCCCAGGGCTCATGAACCTTAAAAACAAATGTGACTGGCTGTATGAACCTTCTCGGCCTTCTTTGAATCGCCTTTTGGGGTTGCCATTTCCTGCTGGCCAGTCACCAAGTCTCACATATAGTATTTAAGTATCCAAACCACACAAAATAATTTGTCACTGACTTGCTATTTCTTATTTTTTTTCACAACATGGTAGTCCACAAAACAGCTATCGTTAGCGATCTTCATAGTAAGCACCTCAAGCTGGCCTACACAAGCTTTGAATTTTATCTATTAATGTGTTTTTTATTTATACAAAAGTTCTGTTAAATGTTAATAATTTTTTTACCCTGCATTATTTGATTTTAGTCTTTTAAGCCTTTATTTTAATTTGGAGACACGTGACCTAACCTGTTGTCACCAGGGATGTAATTACCACAATCAATCAATCAATTCTCACCTGTTTAAAAAATAATTTACCTGCTGTTTGCAGATTTAGTTTTACATGATAAAATCATTAGTTTTCTTGTACAGTACAAGATATTCTAATGATATTTAATTAGTATGCCTCAGAAAAATCTCAAAATATAATTTTAAGGAAAATATCATGTTATGTTTTATGTCCAACTGGCCTTTAAATAATGCATCATTCCAGTGTCACAAAATTTCATGCATATGATTAAGTAATAACATGTTGGTACCTCCCTTAAAGAAAGCACATGGTGAAACTTATTTAGACAAACTTTGCTGCTTGTAGATAATTCTTTTATTACCTGTGAAATTTTCAGTTAGTAGCAGGAAACTGATGTTCAAGTTCACCATGCTGAGACTGTACCATTTCTATTTATAGTTTAATGAACACTAGAATTTTCAAGAATGTTTTTTGCTGATCTACAAGGGTGCTTTAATGAAAACACTTTTACTGTGAAATTTAGCTTGAACATGTAAGCAGATTTATTTTAACATCTAAATTTGTGCTCAAACTCTTCCTGAACAGTTTGGTTTCCTGATGGTTATTGTCCTTTTACTGGAATGTGCTGCTGCCATTACTGTGCTTGTCATGAAGACGGACATTAAAAATCTGGTGAAACGTAACATGAATGAAACTATGGACAAATACGGTGACCCCAAAAACCTGGTGACAACGACTTGGGATGACCTGCAGGAAAAGGTGAGTAGGTGTTAAATTTTTTTGTCTACTAAAGGTCTTGAAGTGTAAAGTGAAAGCGGTATCCATAAACCTGACTGCCAGTTGATAGTGAGGATACACCATACTATAAGTTAAACCTTGGTTACTACAGTTGCATAAGGAGGCAGCTTGAGCAGCACACAGGGTTATTTGACTTAAATGGAAAATAAATAATTCTCAGTTTAAATGAGTTTTGTTTTTATATGCCTGTGAAAGGCCTTGAAAGTCGTAGATACAGTCTGGCCCGATGTTATTCCAAACCCCACGATTGTTCTCCATGGCGTCCATGATGTTGAAATTTTTCCAGAAGTTCCTAACTAGGTTTATCCTTCCCATCAATTGCTTTAGTGAGTTTTTTAAAAGTGCACTTTAGATAATATACCTTGAAGTTTGCCAACACACCTTGACTCATTGTGCTCGTTCTTGGGAATATACTCCACTTGCACTCAATTAAAAAGATCATTCGAGTTCACTGGATGGCTTGGTGCATTTTCTAAGAGGAGTAACACTTTGTTGGATATATTACACCTGTCACTATACCTTTCAACAGCAAGGCAAAAATAATTGGTGAACCAGTATTGAAAAGGGCTCATAGTTATTCAAGTCTTGTTTGAATGCCAAATCACAGGTAGATTAGGCTTGATGTAGCCCTTGAAAGCTCTTAGATTTTTGGGGTAATACACGAGTAAGGGACTTTAATTTCATATCGCCAGCAGCATTTCCTCCCAGAAGAAGCGTTAGAAAATCTTTTGAAGCTTTAAATCCTGGTGCTGACTTTTGTTCCTTTGTCCTAGCAGGCATGTACTTTAAATAAAGTCCAGCTTCATCCACATTATACACCACTTGTTCTGGTGTGTCGCTTCCTTAATCAATAATTTTATTCAGCTCGTCAGGATATTTATGTGTCTTCTATATCGGCATTTCTTAAACCTTTCGAACCAACCTTTACTAGCCTGAAAAGGCATTTGCACCTTCCTCCTCTTGCAAATCATTTTATAAACTTTTTGCCTTCTCTTGAATGATTATTGTGTTTACCCGTACTTTACATTGGGTCTGGTCTTTGATCCACACACTCAGGAGTCGTCCCATATTAAGCATCACATCACTTCTATGAAAATACAATATATGGGCAGTTAGAGTAGCTGCTTGAGTACTTGACCTAATTTTGTCTTGCATATTGTACCCACAGTAGATGTAGCAAGCTCTAATGTTTTTACAATCTGGCTAAGTTTTTCTCTGCATCAAATCTCCGTAAAATATCAAGTTTTATATCCAACATAATTCCTTTATGGGCTCTTGTAGCACAACTGCTTTCACTTGAACTTGATGGCCTCTTTTCACTCATCTTGAATAAGGGTAATACGTACTGTACACTGGACAGTCTTGAATAAGATACATAAGTCTTAAATCCAAGAGCTGGGTTCAAGAGATCAAGTGCATACACTGAGAGATAATTGCAGTACCAAACACCCAAATTTAGTGCTGAGAATTTACAAATTTCATGTGGGCAAATTTTCTCAACCCGAGTTTCCGTATTACCTGTATTAGTTTCAGAAGAGTGGACAGTATGCCTACTGTAGGCTCAACTTGTCAGCATTTGCTGGGGAGTACATTAGTAATATACATTTTGTTTTACAATACAGTATATTGTTGTTGTACAGAGGTGTTTGCATAAATAAATACAGCTCTGCGACATGCATCATATACACTTGGGGTGGGGGGGGAGGGTCCTAGTGCTGCATGGAAAATTCCACTGTATTACCTGTGACATATAGCTCCAGTCATACCTCACTTGCCTTCATCTTATATATACAGTATATATATTTTTTTTTTACAAACTTTTAGATAAACTATTCAGGGTTATTTTGGTAAACAAATGGTATTCCTAACTTGATTAAAACTGATTTTATAGATAAACTATTTAGGATTATGTTTTGTAAAGAATGGTGTTTCAAACTTGACCTGCTTTATAGACTAGTATCAACATTTCTTTTTCTTTTTTCATAAAAGAATCGAGTTTCCCGTCTTTTTATTGTGCAAAAATATTTTGTTTAAGGATCATTTATTGGAACAGTTTTGTAGAGAATTTATTCAGAATCATCATGGTACCAAATTCATCTCTTAACACTATTAGAACAGATGCTGTGAATGAAAGTTTATACATGTTTTCTCTAGCCTTAAATATTTTTGCTCGTGACTGCGGTGTGAATGTCATAGGGAGAGTGATTGTCCGTGAGAGATGAGATGATGAGCTGCATAGTTTAAACTCTTGGAACCTTTCCTCGGTGCCAAGAAACATTCCGGAGATATGTCTCCGTTCGAGATGCGTAGTTTTGACTCTTGAAACTTTTCTCAGTGCAATACTGTACAATGCCCAGAAAAATTCCGGCAATGTTGGATTTTTTTGGGGTTTGAGAAAGTCTTCTTGTTACCTGGAAATTTCTCATCCCTGGAAGAGCTCTGTACTAACTGTTTTGTCTAATAGGGATATTGCTGTACGGCATATTTAATTTTTTTTCTCCAATAAGGTTAAACAAATGAATCTGCGTTACTTTAATATTGAACTTCTTGTATAAATTTATTTTTATACTCCAACAGTACTTCTGCTGTGGAACAGAGGACTACATGGACTGGAATGGAACCACTTATGGCATGAATGTGTCTGGCGTACCAGATACCTGCTGTAAGAATATTGTGGGGGGCTGTGGTTATAAAGTGTTTGACAGTCCAAGTAAGATTCCCACCACCATCTACACCACTGGCTGTTTCCAAGCTTTGTCTGATTCAGCTCATGCCAAGTTAGGAGCAGTCATTGGAGGCATAGTTATTCTAGTTTTGTTGCAGGTAAGTCATTTAAAGTATCATATTTTTAGGTGAAATTAAAAAGAAATAATTAGTGTTTTCGGTTTGCAAATGTTATAAAAAAAATCCTGAATGTTGCACCCATGTACTTTTTACCATTTTCAGTTTAGTTGGGTTTGAATATCCCAATGTGGTATCCAATGTTTATAAATGGAGCAATGTGTGGAATAGAGTACTGGTGGTGTAAAGTACATTTATACAATTATTAGTGGTTAGTTCTTGTTATTCACAAATGGATAATCCCCTGCAAAGAATGAATAGTATTGAAGTAAGTGTAGGACCAATTAGAATGCTTAAAGATGGGCAGCCAATATAATCTTTGCTTAGAGAGGAACTGATGTGGATGATGGCTTTATGATTGGAAGGGTAGATCAGGTTAGTGATTATTGTCTGGAAGAATTTGTGCCCTTGCATCCCAATGTTAGTGAGACTACAAGCGAGACTGACAAGGGACGCCACTGTGACTAGTGGCGGGAAATGCAGACTGGGTCCATTTTAGCAGTGGGGGAGTAAACACTGCATTCGGACTGAGAGGAATTTGCCTCATCCGTGAACCATTTTGGAGGGGGGGGGGATCACTAGGCTCAAGATGTTTTGGTCATTAAGTTCATGCTCAGGAATTTTATGAAAGTACAGTAGGGTCAGGATATATTGCGAGATAGGGTCCAACGATGTTCGCTATATATAATTACATGTAATCAATGAGGGAAGATCGGGTTAGGTGCTGGAGACCAAAAAAGGTGACTAAACTTGACTTAACCAGTTCATTTTCTTACTAACTAAAGCACCAATGAACACTAGACTCGGGAACAACGGGCTATTTCAATATCAAGGAACACCAGACTCGGCAGCTGACGCACCATCCTGGAAACACAAGACTCGGCAGCTGACGCACCATCCTGGGAACACCAGACTCGGCAGCTGACGCACCATCCTGGAAACACCAGACTCGGCAGCTGACGCACCATCCCGGGAACACCAGACTCGGCAGCTGACGCACCATCCTGGGAACACCAGACTCGGCAGCTGACGCACCATCCTGGACCATCCTGGGAACACCAGACTCGCAGCTGACGCCGGGAACACCAGACTCGGCAGCTGACGCACCATCCTGCACCAGACAGCTGAACCAACACCAGACTCGCAGCTGACGCAGAACACCAGACTCGGCAGCTGACGACCATCCCGAACACCAGACTCGGCAGCTGACACCATCCAACACCAGACTCGCAGCTCGAAACACCAGACTCGCACGCACCATCCTGAAACACCAGACTCGCAGCTGACGCACATCCCACCAGACTCGCAGCTGACGCAGAACACCAGACTCGCAGCTGACGCACCATCCGGGAACACCAGACTCGGCAGCTGAAGCACCATCCTGGAAACACCAGACTCGGCAGCTGACGCACCATCCTGGGAACACCAGACTCGGCAGCTGACGCACCATCCTGGGAACACCAGACTCGGCAGCTGACGCACCATCCTGGGAACACCAGACTCGGCAGCTGACGCACCATCCTGGGAACACCAGACTCTGCAGCAGATGCCACACTGCCACCCTCACTTGACAATCCCACACCTACATAAACGAACACCAAAAATATTAGTTACAGTATTAAATAATTTCCATTAAGCTTTCCATTATCCTCACTTCACTTTTCACGTCACTAGCAACCCATTTACACTCACCTTAGAAGTCGTAATCTGTGGCAGAGTCGGCTGCTTTCTCGTCACTCACTCAAAGACTGAGCGGGCGAGCATGAATGCTTGAGTGATCAGCTACGGTGGCGCCTCTGGTGAGCAAATCACGCATTTGTTTGCCATGGCGGTAAATTTGAGATACTTCCTGCCCGATTCCCAACGGGGAAAAAAAAAAAATTTGCTATAGGAAAATTTTTACAATTTTGGTAGCCGTGATATAAAAAACTCGTTATATAAAGTCGCTGTATATCCCGACCCTACTGTATTGTTATGCCGAGGCATAATTTAGTATTATAAGTTTTGTGAACTAGGTGTTTTGATTATTTTCTATTACATGCAGCAGTTATTTTGACAAGTTTTGGGAGAATTTTTGTATATACGGGTATTGATGTATTACCTATGTAAGAATTTTCTAGAATTTATTGTATCAGTTTTGTTATTTACTTCTTAATGTAAGCCTCGATCAGAGTAGAACGTTCTAGAACTTGTTAGATGTGTCTGGATGGTGCTAGGATGTTCTGGGGGGGCATCTGATGAGGTACAGTCTATAAACATCCACAAGCAGCCTCGGAAGTTAGTCGATCATTTGTGCTCAGAGTGTGAAGTACAAGCCTAGTGACAACTAAAGATAATTGTTGTGCAAGTATTGTGGAATTGTCATGAGCCATATAAAGTGAAAAGACTAAGACTACAGTAAGTATTAAGGAATTGCACACTGGTAGTGTGCTGACTATACATTTTCAAAGTGAGAATCCCAGTTGTGAAGACATACCCTGTGAGCAGATTTGTGGAGATCTAGTGATTCTTAAAGACGACCACAGCTCACAAGTGTGTTTCTGTGACCTGGTGGAAATCTACCAGCCTGTTGCTTGTCTGTACACTGATATCGATCGCCGGGAAATTACCGGAGACGTGGGACAGCCAGTGGTAATTCGACGACACTTGTGATATATCTACTGCTTCTGTATACACGACCTCACAGCTGGTAACCAGCAGCGGAAGCTGGAAAGTGGCCAAAGATGTTCTTGACAGTATGCTTAGGGTATGGAATAAGACCGTGCACAGTGATGGGAATGGCATATGAAAATTAAACAAGCCTTTTGCAATAAGAGCACATGCAAGGTACTAGAGGCCATGGACTATGGATGTACCGAACCAAAAATTTTGTCGATACTGTTACTCCGATACTGTACTTAAAGTTAGCCGATTCTTTTCCAATACCGATACTAATAGAAAATTATAATTAATTTAGCTAAAAATAATTAGCAAGCTTAATGACGGCTAACTATACGTATGAGATAATATTGGTCGAGTCGCTAGAAACCTTAATTTTATTCGTATTGTAAAATGCATGAATAAATGTGATTGCAATTCTCAAAACCCCCTCCCGCACTCTCCATCACACGCATTGCTACCATCACTTCTTGCCCTTGAGCGAGCAGTAAACAAATGTCAACTGTCGTGGGGTGGAGATGGGTGGGATGTCGACGTCGCATTCTGGAAAATATCACAAAAACTGGTTTTTAGAAATAAATGGCTTTTTGTACAATCCAGAATGCAACGTCTAGCTTTGACTACCCGAGCAGGAGGTGGAGAGGGATGTGACATTGCGTATAAGGCTCTGCTAGTTTAGGTCCAGATAATTATAAACTTGGGAATATTTTCCAAGGGTAAAATGTTAATTTACATATCCCAATTAGGATATTCACTTTATTCTGATGAGAAAGAAGGTCCTGGTTGTGGAGATTAACTAGGTAGGGGAGAGGACCCCAGCACCACCACATGTGAAGCATCTTTCAGAGATAGATGAAGATACTGGTAGCTGTTTTGAAAGGTTTTTGAAGATTCCCTCTTCTTTAATCTGACTGAGGCTCATATGCTGCAGAAAGACCACAGACCCTGCATATTTCTTGGTGTCATGTGCCAAAATTTTTTTGCCAGGGTCTGCTTGACTCCGAGAAAAATATTTTGTCATTTGACTCGGAGACAATTTCTTACCATCCTGTGATGAAAATACATAGGGGCCTCAATTAGGGAATCTGGTTAGCCATTCTTGAATATTCCTAACTGGGCACAATATATGAGGAACCCTTGTCTCATCCATTAGCAGTTTTATCCTGATAGGTGGAGCTTGAAAATCCTTCCTTTCATTTTTTCGTAGAATCTCCGTAGGAAAAAGGGTGACATCTTCCTCAGAAAATACCAATAATGATGGATTATTGGAAATTGAAATCGGCTGTTGCTATTGCTAGAAGGAAGGCTGCCTTCTGGAGCAATATATCCCGGTTCAGATTTATATTGTAATTAGGCCCGATAAGAAATTTAGTAACTTTATCTAGAGACCAAGGTGGGATTCTCTTAGGCCGAGGGGGTCTCTGATTGAAAAAGGATGATCTGAGCATTTGATAAATTCTTGGGTTCAAAGTAATATTAAAACCCCAAGCCAGAGGGTCAACCAGTGCTGATTTATAAGATGCAATTGTAGCTCCTTGAAGGCCTTTAACTCTTAACAGAAATTCTAAAAATTCTAACACCACTGTTTCCGACAATATGATTGGAGTCGTTAACTTGATAAATTTCTGAAAAAGTTTCAAGTTTTCTCATATTGCATAGAAGTTTGGGGTCTATGACCTGCTATCACTTGGTTAACTATATTGGAATTACCCAACAATGTATTTAAACATCTTTTGAGAAACTCCAAGCGTGAAGTGCCAAGGATATCTCGAACCGAGGGTGCAGTACCTGGTCTAGATATATTTTCTAATCTTATCCCATTTAAACTAATTATTGAAAGCAATATAAGCATTTCTAATTCAAATACTGGTAGTATTTGAATTAGAAATGCTTATAATAAAATACACAGGTACATTTTTAGGACCTTTCAACACAAAAGCTTAGAGAGGAATTATATGTTTCAAACAAACAGAAGAATGTGAGTTGCATACAATAATTGTATTCAGTCATAAAGTTGTAAGAAAAATTATATATTGTCCCTCTAGAAACTTCCGTGGCGCCTCAGTGACGAGGGAATAAGGGGAAAGTTTATTTTTTTGGGGGCGTCTGGCGCTCGTGACCACTACGCACTTTGGGGTCTTTTTCCGCTTGCCTTTGTGTCCGAGTTGGCCAATAAGGCATATTTACTGATCATAATACTTATTTCCTGTAAATAATTCATTTAGAATTTATTTTATTTGCATTACTTTTCATAAAAAGTGCTTGGCAACACACCCAGTCTGTTGCCAGACTGTCTGGCTGTCTTTGTGTTTGGGAGAGCAAGTAAGTCATATAAATAATTATCAGAATAATAATTCCACAGATAAATACATTTATAACATAATGATACCATTATCATCTAGTAATACTACCTAGTAATACTACATTGCATTACAACTACACTACTTTTAGTTATATTACTTTGATACAACATGATAAAATGGATAAACATTGAAAAATAAACAACAACAACAAGAAGGAATTTGCCAAGAAGCTTCCCTCTGAACGCTCGTAGGGCGCCGAGGTGGTGGTGATGTTGGTGATACCCTAACGTTTAGCTAGCTGTCTGCCAGCGCTCATGGGTAGTAACGAGTGAATGCATACAGCTGTGTTCCTTTTACACAAATATGACACTTTGTACCATACATATACACTTAGTACACCACTATTTACAAGCACATGCCACATTGTTTTAGAATGTTTTCTTAGAGTGGTACTCCATAATGTAATGTTTACAGAGACCAATGTCACGCTCATTACACCATGTCATCACATCCGCACGCTTAGCTGGGTGCTTTGTGGTGTTCTTGTAGACATAACACCGCCTTTGCACCTTGCGACCTCTTGGAAGAGTTGGGAGGTCGTCAAGGTAGTGACGAACAACCCAGTCACGTGCAAGGAGTCTGTCAGGTAGGCCTGCTTGGCTGTGACGTCTTGGTACAGCTGCCATAATGTTGCCATACTTCTCGAGGAGTTGTGTTATAACTTGCTTCTGAAAAACCCCGAGAGAGGGTTTTTTTCCCCGGTTTTTACTCGGTACATGTTGTACGCATTCGGGATGGTGATGTCCATGAAGTGTAGGAACATTTTCTTGTACCAATTAACACATTTCCGTACGCACTCAATTGCGCCAACCTGCATGTCACTCTTGTTCACGAGCCGCATGTTGACATTGTAGTCCACAACAATGTTTAGTTTTTTCATGACCTCTCCTGTGATTCAGTCCCCTTTTCCACTGTCCACCATTTCGCCTTTGTGAACTGTTGACAGCATCTGCACAGTACGTTCATCATGCCAGTATATTGCAAGCATCTTGTCTGTTTGCTTCAGCTGGATCTCTCCTCATGCAGGTCTACCAGTAAACACGGGCCAGTGTTTCCCGTTCTTACGTACTGTCCCACAAGAACCGGTGTCGTGTTCAAGTAGGAACTTGGCCAGGGCAGGAGAGGTATAATAATTGTCAGTGTAGAGGACGTGATTACCTCCAAAGTAGCGGTCCATAAGTTTCCTGTCAACAGTGCCTTGTATATGTCTGTCACTTGCTTTGTCTCTGGACATGAATTGTGCAAGCAATGGAGTTACTGTGATGTCATCAGGAGATATCCAGTACTCCTGAAGTACAGCACATGTTTTTTCACATGTGCCATCAGCATCAGTAATGCAAAATCACATACAGTTCGGAAACACCGACATCACTCCATTGATGCATGTGTGACGGGGGTCCAGGGCCTGGGTGAGCATCACAAGTGTACTGATAAAATTTGTCTCGGTACACAGTAAGTCCATGATTGCACCATCAAAGAAAGCACAAAAATAGTCCATCTCACGTGATTCCTCTGTACAAGGAAGATTGGGAGTAATTCCACCTGATGATCGTCTAAAATCAGGTATGTCGGGCTGAAAATTACTGCAATCAGACCAAACAAAGGTATCCATTGTTGAGCCGTGAGCGCACAGCGGGGATACGCCGTCCTTGCTGGGTTTCGCTGCCAGCGTCATGCTCATCCTCACTTGTCTCTATTAACATCGTCTAACTCGATGCTATCCTCAGGATCACTAGTCACATAATTACTGCCTTCCTCACCACTTTTACTAGATTTGCACACTACAGCACTCACATCAAATAGTTCTGTCCTTATCTGGCTATCATCCAACCCACGGCGGCGACACTTGATTGGAGTGGAAGATGAGGGGCGACTCATGACGACGGGAATGGTTACTGACTGTGCTGAGCCTACCCACGCTCCCCTATGTATGCCAGGACAGACAAATAGTCATGCTGGAACCTGCTAACCCGCTATGGGCATTCAAACTGGCGGGAAAAGCTGCGTGTTCTGGAACATCACCTGGGGTGTGCCGGTCCGGCGTTCCGGAGCGTCAACCGGGGCGTAAGGGTTAAAAACATGTGTTTCACCGGCGTGAGCATTAAGACGACTTCCACGTGGAATGTATACACCAATGTTAAATAATCTTTCACCTTCCACTGGTGAAGGTGGAGAGGATAGATGCTTGTTAGCAAGGAGACTTAATGTTGGTAGTATGTTCTTATTGGTGTTCTACCAATCAAAAGGTTCCATCATGTGCTTGCAACTGTAATGTCTGGTATCTGTTAATTTCAGCTCTTGACAGTTAAAGTGGTTACACACTTTTTTTACTTTTCAAAGAATTCTTCGGAATTAATTTTGGTTCTGTAGACTGTGAATGATCACTATTGCCCTCTCTCACTAGCTGGTCTAAGCATTTATCAAAATCCAAGTCACTAAAGTCATCAAACTGCACAAGACACTCTAGGTTCTGCACTTCAGTTTCACTGGAATGTGCACTGACACACTTCTTATATATCTTGCTTCCTCTTCTCAAGACAGCTGATGTCACTCTTTGTTGGTATCTTTGTATCTTGGATCAAGACATGTTGCCAGTATTGGATTGTTGTCATCAAGATACCTATGAAATATGTTCTACCTTGATGGCAGTGAGAAGTACTGCCTAACCCAGAAAACTAATCATCTGCTGATGCTTTAGGGATTATCTCTGAAACAGTGCATGATCTTTGACTCACCTGAACAGTGGTCTTGTGGAAATTATCACTAGAGTAGAGAGCTTTCTTAAAAGGTTCCATTTGTTTTCATCAAACACCAGGAGGTTGGGGGCTTCAAGGCAGTTGAATTGAGACAGTTTATTTAGCCAGAAAAACACAGATACAGAGTGGATAATAATAACAACAATATTAACATGGCTGAGCCAGTTGAGAACCTGAGCTCTCTTTGAGGCACCTGATATATACTATACATTTATCTCAAGAAAGTATTATGTAAAATTTAGTATCATCTGGAATAGTACAATAGCATGGTAGTAATAAGTACATCTCATAGTGTTACCACGGTTATCACTTCAATATTTATTTATTTTATTTGTTAATTATTTTTTATATTATTTATTTTTATTATTTTGTTTATTTATTTATTTATTTATTTACACATATATACACATACATATATGTGCTGTTCCTATGAGTTTTGATTTTTCTCGATTTACCCCCACGTGGGGGGTACTGCCAGCGGTACCCTAACCCTTTTACTGTACTGACTTTTACTTTTATCCTCTTCACCACTGATTGGCTCGTTAGCCACTTGGGCGATCAGTTACGTCTCTGTTATGCACTGTTGGCAAGTACTGGGCATGCACCGACTCGAAAAAGTTTGCCCTCACAGTTTTCTGGACCTGCAGCTTAAAGGTTAATTTATGTTAGAGAAAATACGACTGGTTGTTGCATTCCAGAGCAGTTGACTCGCAGTAAGATCTGCCATATGTGTAATAATGGAAATGGATAGTTTGGGCTGCCAGAGAGGAAAATTAAAGAAATAACATTATGAAAGTGTTGGCTGAAAATTGGCCAATACCGATACCATTACTGTACTCCAAAAATAGGCCAATGCCACCGATACTGATACTTGATACAATGTAAGTATTTTAACCAAACCTCGAGAATAAGTAGAATTTCTTCGCCTTCTCCACCCAGTCTCAGATCATTATATTATTGAAAGATAAGCATACCCCCTGTACTTCATAAATTGTCGGAAGAATTTTCTGCAATTTAATTAAAAAAAATATTATTTACAGATTGTTGGCATCTGGATGTCGTGTTGGCTCATTCAAGCTGTGAAGGAGCGGTATGAGGTCTTGTAAATTGCCACTGCAATTTGGCACATGGTTGGATATCTTGATGTTAAAGACGTGTGAATAATTGCAGTGGTGGTTGGTCACAAGCCTCCATAATGGTAATATGATGTTTGCTCTAACAACTTTCTTAGAACAGTAGACTTGTGAAGGATTGGAAAATATAGACTTTAAAAAAAGATTGAATTTGTGATGATAATGATGGGTTCAAGGAATTATAAAATGTAACTATTGTACCTGTATTAAAAATTTAATTTGATTATTACCTACTGATTTTCATCTCTACATGTGATTACATATGATTATATGATCATTCTGCATAACAGGAAATCTACTGTTAGTGAAATTATGAATCTGAAATTTGGTTTTTGTACAAAATTTTATTTCAAAAAATATTTCTTAGGTTAACTTTTGTAGTAATAAAGACTTATGGTACAGTATTATAGATAAGATAGCAGGAGACAGTTGTACTGTCCCCTTCACTAGTGCATTAACAGGGGCTTGCCAAGTTTTGTGTGGTGTGGCAGCCCTGTGTTTGTTTACATTCAAGAGAAGGAAACACAACAGTAAACATATTATGGAATCAAATTAAAACTATTAAAACAAATGCCTCCAAATATAATGATTTATGGAATGTTTATATGACGAGACCCTGTAAACGCACTAGAGAAGAGGACTGTACAGTCTGATGGCCTCTGCAACGATCACTGACTGAAGCCATGTTAATTTGGTATACAGTAGAAGTCCAAAAATCCGGACTGCTTGGGGATTGGGTCGGTCCGGATTTTCGGATATTCCGGATTCTCAGGCAGTACTTTTAAAATTCAAATTTAAGGAGGAATAAAGAAGAGATGAAAAGGTACATTTTGATAGTTTATTCATTAGCAAATATAGCATGCTTCATTTATCAAAACGAGCAGTTTTATAGAAAAAGCTGTGAATTCTAGAATTTTATTCTTTGCCTTTTTTATATTATAAATTGTAGACTTAACAATGTCGTATGTTTCCATTAGAACAGTATTGCTCACACCACGTTCTAGTTTCTTAATTATTTCAAGTTTGTCACTCATTTTCAACTTGTTGTTCTTTCTCTTCACACAACGAAGTTTATCTACTTTAGGAGCCATTATTATGGGCTTGTACAGTACTCTGTAAATGGAAAGAGTAGGACTCAAAATTACATACATTGTCAGTTTGATTGCTCGTTTTAAAGTGGCGACCGCGTGGTCGCTTGTTGTCGCTGTACATGTGTGGCGCTCATGCATGCGCACATACACACAAAAGCCAGCTAAATTAAAAAAAGTGAGTTTTCAAAGAGTCCGGATTCTCGGGTGGTTTGGATTTCTGGCATCCGGATTCTTGGACTTTTACTGTACAGTAGTTGGTATTTCTGGTTGTGTGATGCATTTTTTAACCAGTATGGTGTATTTTTTATATCACATGTAGCTATACTGAGAAATTAACCGGAATCACCTGCGTAAATGAGTGTTGTTCAGAATTCTTGGTCCAATATGTCATATTGTATAACCCCATGAAGGTGCAGAATTGTTTTTGACTGTACCTCTCATCAGAATTATGTATTGAAGAAAAATCTTGTTTTTGATCTGATATACATTTAAACTATATAATCATGTACTCAAAGTATATACTGTCTTAGGATATTACTGTATGTGAAGTAGCCATTGGCAAGATTCTGTATTCAATCATTATTCAATAAAGACAGCTTGTTTGTTAAGGTATTTAATTGCCTAAGTATTAATTTTGACCAAGCAGAGAAATATATATAGGAAATTTTTTTTAAGGCTTGGTTATGGTATTTGACAGGGTACCACATGGGGTATAGCAGTGGGTAGTGAGCAAGTTAAAGGTTGAGTGTCTTGTATGAATGGTTGTGTGGCTTTGGAGCTTTTTTTTTTTGACATGGGGATTACCCCACCCGGGCACAGGTCACTGACCCACATGGGGCCTGGGGGGCGAAAATTTAATAAGAATAATTCATAGTAAATAAAATTTACAATGGAAATATAAAATGAAAAATTAAATAATAATTCATAGTAAATAAAATTTATAATAAATACAAAATTAAAAATAAAATATTAACTAACACGAATAAAAATAATGAAATACAAAAATGGAAAAGAAAACTCAATAGTGAGGAATGATATATTTATATTGTGATGTCAGAGTAAGAAATAGAGACCCTGCAATTGTGTGTAAATGAGGCAGAAAGTCAGATCAGCAACCTGGGACTTGGTCACAATTTTCGTGATGCCATATGGCAGCAGGGTCTACCATTAGACAACACATTATGCTTCCAATATCTTCCCAGGCGGTAGTACCTCCCTGTTTGATAGCTGCCTACTCCTATTGGCCATTTCTCCAAAATTTTGGTAAAGTTTATGTAAATACAAAATGCTTAATAAAAGCTCCAAATCAACTTGTGCACTTGTTAACCAGCGCCTTGGTTAACGAGTTACCTTCCATAAGATTCTTAATTTCGGTTAACAAGCAATCCCTTGATTAAGGAGTTTCTTACGAGCCGACCTCAACATGTTTTCGCTAGCATTTGGCGGTCCACCAGCTGTAGTACAGGCATCCCCCGCGTTACGGAAGGGTTCCGTTCCCGGAAAATTGACTGTATCATGAAATTCCGAAACGCGAAACCTATTTTCCCATTGACTTCCATTATAAAACTGGAGATGCGTTCCTAAGGAATTTTTTCGGCCCCAAAAAAGTAATTCAAGCACTTTTATTAATGAAAATAAACATTTATAAACACACAATACAGTACATTAAATAATTTACAGTTGTACCCCACTTAACGCGGTCAATAGAACCCAGAGGGTCCTGCGTTAAGTGAACAACAGAACATATGGGATTAATTCCAATAGAAACCAGCCCGACCCCCAAACTCCACTTTTTGACGACACATAACTATGTTGTAGTAAAAATTTTATCTTAACTTTATGATGGCATGAAAAAACAAGTAATATAGAAGAGGTTAGGTTAGGAAAAATAAAGGTTACGTTAGAGAAACTGAAAGTTAGGTGGAACACTTATGGTAGCAGAAGAGATGGGTCGGCATACGGGGATGGAGGCTGGTTCCGAGGCAGAGGGCAGATTACTGGCCCTCAGGTGAATCACCATCACTGTCACTTACAGTTGTCAGGGCTTCCCTGACAAATCCCTCAAAGTCAACTTCACTGTCACTATCACTGGCTTGGGCTGGCTGTGGTGGGTTGCGGGCGAAGAACTCGGTTATGCTTTTTTGACGGCTGGTGTTTATGTTGTCTTGGTACACCGTGATGTACGGCTCCATAGCCTGCACCAGCCGGGTATGGAAGACTTCATAGCGGTCATCGTCATTGTCGCGGGAAAGGACGGACTTCATTTTCTCTGCAAACTCTATGGCACACTTAATATCACTATGACTTAAACTGTGTTCTTCGGAGAATGACGCACCTTTGGTCCTCCTCTTCACTGACGTGTTCTTCTTCCAACATCTCGTCGGCAGTCACTTCAGGATCTCTGATCACCTCCAGGATGTCTTCGTTGGTGGTCTCGGAGAAGCCTTCAGCTGTAATATTGAGCGCAGCTTCTCTGGCAAGGTCCACTGCTACTGCAACAGTCTGAACCTCACCAGTCACAGGTTCACTCCTCCTCTCACCTGGTATGCCATGCAACACATGTCTCCATGCGTGACGAATCGTAGCAATAGTCAGCAGATCCCATGCCTCCACCAAGAAGTCTACAGCTTGTTTAACGTTAAACTTCTTCCAAAATTGTTTGACGAGAAGTTCTTGAGTCACCACCTCTTGTTCCTTGTCCTCGTCGCTTTTGCTCTCGCTGTCGGTGTCACCCAGCTTACGCAACTCATCCTTGGTGTTGGTAGAGTCGTTCAGGAGCTTGAACTTCTTTGCAGAGTACGCAGCTTTCACATTGCAGATCAACTCCTGGTCCATGGGCTGGATTAATGACGTAGTGTTGGGAGGAAGGAAGACCACTTTTACGTTGGGGTGACGATCCATAAGTAGGGGCGAGTGTCCAGGTGCGTTGTCAAGGAGCAACAAAATATTGAATGAAACATTCTGTTGCTCGCAGAATTTCTTCACGTCGGGAACAAAACAGTTGTCAAACCAGAAGAGGGACAGAGAAGAGGACATCCACGCCTTACGTGCGGTTAGCCAGTGGACATTAAGCTTGTTCATGTCCATATTCTTGTAGGCGTGCGGCTTGCGGGCTGTGTGAATCACCGATAACTTTGGTTTACAGGTACCGGAGGCATTGGTGGTAAACAGGACGGTGATGCGTTCCTTCTGCAACTTCCGACCCCTTACCTTGCTGGCAGACTGGACAACGAAGGTCTTGGAAGGTAGCTTTTTCCAGAAAAGACCAGATTCGTCCATGTTAAACACCTGGTCGTCAGTGTACTGTCTTTCCTCCATAATCTCACGTAAGAACGGAGGAAAATCTCTAGCCGCCACACGGTCAGCACTCGCTTCCTCACCACCAATGTTGATGTTGGTGATCTTGTTCCTCTTCTTAAACCTATGCAGCCAACCAGAGGAAGCATTGAAGGGTTTGGGCTCTGCAATTCCCAGCTTACGTGACACTGCTGCGTATAGCTCACGTGCGTACTCCTGCACTGAGCGCGTGTCCACCGCCATGTTGCGTCGCGCCTGACGAACCAAATAACTCACCAGCAAATTTTCCACTTTTGCCAGCACCCTGTTCTGGCAATACCTGATAGATGAAGCACCTGCAGACTTTGTGATTTTCATGTGCTCTTTGATCTTGGCTGCATCCTTCTTGATCGTGCGAATCGTAGATTCGTTGACGCCATGCTGGCGCGCGAGATCAACTTGCCGTGTTCCTTTCTCCAAATCTTGAACAATTTGGTACTTCACCTCGTAGCTTAAGGAACGTCGTGTCTTCTTTGGCTTAGTGCCGCTGGGTCCAGGTAAGGAAAGGTCTCTCTCTGGTGGCGGTGGTGGTCCGGCGGAAGCCATTTTACGAAACAATGGATGCGCGTTTACACGGTGTGGCCTTGAGGGATGAAACTGCCGCGGCTAGGTCAAGCATCGTCTTTCCTCCCTCCCTCCCCGGGGTGGTCACGTCATAATAGTTTAAGCCAATTACAGCTAGCAGCAGAGGGGGGTAGGGATGCATGGCCAATCACAGTCCGATACGTCATATGACGTCAGTGATAACGCAACAAAGACACACACTGCGCAACCTTACCGCGCCGCTTGCCCAAGC